GGGACCGGTTGCCTCCCCGTTCCCGGGACCCGTTGCTCCCCATTCCCGGGGCCCCTGCTGTTCCCGTCTCGGGACCCCACTGCACCCACCTACGGGGACCCCCCTTCCTGCTCCCGGGGCTTCGCTGCCCGGCTCCCGAGAAATCGCTTCCCCCGCTCCCGGGACACATTTCGATGTTTTAGGAACACATTTCATTCATAAAAAAAGTAATACATGTTTATACTTCATTCATCGTTTTATTGGTATAAACAGGATCGCCATTTACAGACTGACAAAAATAACGCTCTATGTATAGTGTATACATGTTATGCACTATGCTAACACTATACAATAATGTAACCTGGTACTTTACAAAAATGTGTAGCCGAAACATAGGAACAATAGCTGTTTCCCGAACTAGCCTTCCAGGGACTAGACTTTTAAAATCGTTGGACCCGGTGTAAGAAATTACTAGTAATTAACAGATTTCTCTAACTTTAAAAAGTAAACTAACATCACATCTCATCACAGTCACCTCCAAATAGAAGTCCATTTTAGCAAAAAAATGTCAAAAAGTAACTAATACTGACATATCATCAGGTTAAAAGAGGAAAATAGCCCTCAGATCATGAAAGTGAATGGCGCTTACACAAACAGTCAAAAGACTAAATTTTCAATAAACAAAGAAGGCCTCAAACAAAGTTCTTCAAAATACATGTACGTGTAGCAAAAACATAATGGCAGACCTAACATGAAGTTAAATGAGGCTTGGCAGAAAACAATATCACGTCATTACAAAAAAAGATCTTTTGCTCAGAAATTAATTACATGAACACGTATTCAATTTACAATGTCGTTAAAGATAAGCTGTCGGTTTCGTAAAGTTTGCGTTGTCGCCTGTACAAAATGAGGCTTAGTTGTAGATTGAAGGCCAGGAGGTATGCCCCCCCCCTTGCTTCAGGGGACCATAGCGAAATGTTTTCATCCTGGAAGGACAAACTTCCCCATGTCTGTCTGCGGGATGGCGTGGTGTTGGTGTCGGTTGTGATCGCAGTCAGGCCGGAGCGGCGTGCTGGGCGCGGGGTGCACCCCGGGCGGGAGTGCAGCGGGGCCGGCCTGGGTCGTCGGAGCCTGCCGGGCGCTTTAACACAGCACCCTCGCCTTTAGATCTGAGCCTGGGTGTGCAGTCTGCCTGTTTGCCTCCAGCCTGGCCTGCAGGACATGGACAAACGAAAATCTAAGTCAAAAGTTGAAGGCATTTTTGAATTTCATTTGAAGTTACGTGTACATGTACTAGACGTTTTATAAACAAGCCTGGCAAAGATGCGGACGTCTGTATGGACACATTTCGAGGAGAAGTCATTTATCATTTTTAACGAATGGTTTTAACGTCAGACAACAACAATTTTGTCCAGATGAAAAGGCTCCATTCATCAAGCATCAACGTCTACTTGTTTCTTTTCATTGTAATCATGGGAACAATACAAACACAACATTTCCCTCGGTAATGAAAACAATTCAAATTGTCAAGAGCCTTGTCGGCCTTCGTATGCAAAGATATACATTTGCATAGACTCACACTCTTCTGTGTGACTGCAGTCGCTTTTCTTTCTTTCTTTTCTGAGCTCTCCGACAGCCTGGCGATAAAGTTTCTTCAAATCGTCTCAAAGTATCCCAAATCCGCGCCTGAAAAAAGTACATATGTTCTGAGCAAGATACAAACTATATCGATGTACTTCTAAGAAGAAATAATCAACTATGTTATTAATCAGTAAAAAAATAGTGTACACTTCTTGCCAAAATAAATATTTCTGCCGTAGGCACAACTTAGCCAAGGTTTTTAAACAACATGTTTAAGATATATGTAACGATAGTGCCGTATATATAATAGTATCCTTGTTTTAGCTTACCCTTCCTCCTGTCGGTTTGCTGGTTCGTTGCGGTGTTGTCCTTTCAATGTAGTACAGTCATTTCTTCCGTTGCGAAAACGAAGTAACAGAACGGAACGCCATTTTAGTTCAGGAACATACTAGTAATCTTTGCAAGCCGAGACAAACGTGTTTTGAAAAAGCAAACCGTCGTTGTGACAAAGCAAGATTCAAACGACCCACCAAAACAAAGCATCGCGTCTCTTATTGGCTGGTCCCGGCGAGAGCGAGGTAGGATTGGTCGTCAGTCATATAATCACGTGATCGCGTTCAATACTACAACCATCTTGTTTTTATATTATAGGTTTTAAGTTAAATCGCCTGTGCAGTCTGAACACTTGGATGATAGGATGTTTCTGATTGTGTGAATGTATTTATTTCAAGGCAGACAAATGATCTTCATAATTCTAATTCGTCATGATTACATGGCTTTATTCGTTCTAGAATTACACAACTTGTCGCTCACTAAGTGAAATAAAACCGCACTTCAACTCCAACATAACCTTACTCTTTGTAAATGTATCCAAAATCCACAATTAATGTCATGAGGGTTGACTTGTTTTGCTGGATTTCAGTATTTTACCAGGCATGGGGACGCTGTGAGTTCTCCCTTTGTTTACACAAAGGCTATTCACATAAACGGACGCCATGTCAGACACATCGCAATACACATCGACAGAACTACAATGTAAAGCTTGCATATTATTACCCATACATGTACCTAAAAATCATAACAAACTGATAAGGTCATGTTAGTTCAAACCCCTTTACTCAAGCGTTTGATTACATCATGGTAATGAACCTCACGGATAAACTATTATTTCCAAAATAAAAAAAATTCAGATTTAGACCGGAGTGTAGATTTAGGTCATTTTGACCGAGTAGGTTATATAACCCCAGCGTCGGGGCGCCCTACGCTCAAATGTGCTTTGTCGTATGGACGACATGACGATAAATCAAGCCAAGGACGCATAGGTTCAAATGTTGTATTAACAATCCTTGATCATTCTATATCTGATTTGCTTAGATTAAAATGCTGGCAACTTTGGTTCAAGTAATTATCACCTGAAACATGAATACACGCAGTACCTAATTACCCCTTATTGTTAGCCGCTCCCCAACACACGCCAAGTGTGCGGGGCGTAAATTTCCATGCACGTGCACGGCGAGCACGAATCCGGGAGTGTAAGGAAATATCCGGGGCCGTACACGCGGAGCCCGGAAATCCATGGACGCGACCAGGACACTGCGAATTTCACGGGCGTGTGCGGGACTGGAAACTCTTGGAAACGTGGTTTTTCATGTAGTGCATGTGACGTCACATCAATCCGTCATGTGACGTCACAACCGTCGGTCATGTGACGTCACATTAATCCGTCGATTGACGTCACATCCGTCGGTCAAGTGACGTCAGATCCGTCTGTCATGTGACGTCACATCTGCCCGTCATGTGACGTCACATCCGTCTGTCACGTCTGTCACTTTACCACAGTCACATAGGCGTTGAAAAAACTTGATTTAGATTTCGTTCTGGGAACCTCGTGCAAAATTCTCATTCTCGGAATCAAGAGGTCCCTGGTTCGAGTCCTGACATGCCACCGATCTTGTGCCCTTGGGAAAGGCGCTTTACACGATTTTCCTCACTTCGCTCAGGTGAAAATTCTAGTTCTAGTTCTATACAATACTAAGCAATACCCCTCGCGGGGTCTAGTGCTTAGGGAAGTGGTCGTTCCCCAGCGTGACCGGTGGTGGTGGTGAGGAAAAAATAACAACAAACAAATAATAACAAAAACAAGTGCAATAACTATGTACAGAAGTCATGGCTGGGGATTGGCCACATTCCTACAGCTGGGTACAGCTAGGGAAGCCATAATGACTGGCTACCCCAGCTTTGAAGTGTTCAATTGACTTAGCCATTACCAGATGGTCAGGTAAGGCGTTCCATTCGATCACTGTTCGTGGGAAAAAGCTACCTCTAAAGGTCTCTATTCTACAGTGTAGTGTGTTGAAGCGTAGCTGGTGCCCTCTGGTTGGGTTTGTGTTTTGTATGAGTATTGTATTGTCCACTGTGTTGGTGGCGGCATTAACATAAGTTGAAAAAACTTGAGTGTGCCGTCAACACGTCTTGTGATTAGATTAGATGTTGGAATAAAAACAAATCTTATTTCCCAACTGTTCTTCCCTGTGTAGGTGACATGCAGTTCACCGTTAACGAGCTCCTGGAGTATTTCGACCACCACACGATCAACCGTCTCGACACCAACCACGACCACATGATCAGCTTCCAGGAAATCTTGGATGGCCTGACAGTTGCTGATATTTTTGCGTACTACGATGAAAACGGTACGTGAAAACGACAAGTGCACGTAATCCAGACAACGGGCGTCGCATGTTGTGCTACGTCTACCACATTCTAACGCGTTCAAGCTATGAGAAGCTTCGAACGTGTCCAAACACGTAATCGGGAAGCTTCGAACGTGTTCAAATACGTAATCGGGAAGCTTCGAACGCGCATCTAGAAGCTTCGAACATGTTCAAATACGTATTCGAGAAGCTTCGAACGCGCATATAGAAGCTTCGAACGTGTTCAAACACGTAATTGGGAAGCTTCGAACGCGCGTCTAGAAGCTTCGAACATATTCAAATAGTATTACGTATTCGAGAAGCTTCGAACGCGCATATAGAACCTTCGAACGCACATATAGAAGCTTCGAACGCGCGTCTAGAAGCTTCGAACGAGTTCAAATGATGACAAATTTGACGTTCCCACTGTGAAGTTATTAGTTTGAGCTGGTCTATTATAGAGGTAGATCATTATAGATGCCAAATTAGCTTTAAGTTGGCTATTTTAGCACTCCGTGCATTCAATACCGGGTGAAACACTCGATAACAAACATCGCCAAGATATTTGTTTAACCTGCACTCTTGTTTTTTTTTTTTTACATTTATCAGATGACGGCTTTCTGTACGGTGGAGAAGAGGACAAGATCTACCAGATGTACGCCGCGCAGCTAAACGCCGCAGTAGAACCACTGCTGTGATGTGGCGGTTTTCTTCAGCAGTCAATCAGCACTAAATGACAACTTACACATCTACTAACCTTCCTCCATAGTCTCTAACCCAGTTCTAACCTAGTGTCTTTGGTAGCACCAAGGTGGTCATACCAAACCAAGGAGGTTTAATATGAAAAAAAAATATCGCATGATACTGATTAAAATGCAAATTCTTGCATGCAGTCAAACTTGTGTCTTCTCTTCAGAACATCATCATTTGATAGAATATAACATACATATGTAGCTAAATCAGTGGCTGCCTTATTTGCATAGTCGATGAAAGGATAATGATAATACATAAAGATTAACATCATTTCGCGAAGGTATGAGGCCGTGTAGCAATCCAATGAAATTTTCATTGGGTTCCAAAACAACCTTAAGCCTGGTCTTCCTAAGACCTACCCACATACCAAATAACTTGAGAAAAAAGTCGGAAACGCACTACGTAGACCCCCTTTTTAACCTCCTAGCTCACAGAATGACACGCCATACAATAAACTTAACCCTTGTCCTGCTGACATTCCTGGCACAATATTTTTCAATAATTTCATGTCTTAATTAGATCATAGACCCCCAATTTTTTTTTTTTGCCCTGCGGTGGCGTAGTTACTTCCGGGTTCGTTGCGTGCGTTTGGTCGCGGTGTGAAGCGTTGCACGAGAAATACCCCCAAATCGTACCTATACAGGGTGCTATATAGATGGTACTGTATGTGCAGAACAACAATTGTTGTGCTCCGCAGGACAAGGGTAAGCCACTAAAACCTACCCCTAACATACATAGATCAGATATGAGTTCAGAATAATTATAAACATTGCAGAGGTTAGGTCATGTCAGTTCCTGTAACACACTCAAACCTCCCCCACACGTAATAGCAAACACACAAGTAATTTTTATGGATGACATCAGCGCGCGCATCAATTTTTGCCTGATTTTTGAAAAAAAAATTGTTGCCTTCTGACAGTGGTCAACATATGCCGAAAATGGACAAAGATGTCATGTTGAAAGGAGGATGGCAGATAACTATGAAGAGAGGAGACAAGACAGACATACAGTGATATGTGATGCTGGCTGTGTATATGTGATGTTCCCACTGATTCAAAACCATTTGTACAATGATTGAGTCAAAATTTTAAAATGTAGAAACCTTGTTTTTTTCGGCCCGTCTTGTTTTTTTTCGCCCGCTCGCATTAGGTTTGAAGTCTGAGGAGGATGTCATTCATAAAATTTACTTACTGTGGCCTAACGGTTACCAACGCGCATATTTTTGACAAGTGGCATTTGGACTACAGCGCTCGGATAAGAAGCACTATGTGGTCAGTTTTTCTCCTGTGTTTGGTCGGGTTTTCCCAGCACGCCCCAGCGGCTGTTGTTCCAGGGATTTTCCAAGGTTAGTCCCACTTCTAGTCTTGAGCTTCTATTAGTAGTTCTGGACATGGATTTCTTGAATCGGTGATGTGCGGTTAGCCTCTACCAGGCTTCAGAAGGCAAGCTGTTGGAAAGAGTAGAAATTGGCCAAATAGACATATGACATGCCAGGGGAGTTCGTCTGCTAAAGGAGAACTCTAGGAGCGAACTGCACTTCTTTAGCGGACTAATACCCTGTCTGTTATCTGTCTAGATGCCAAATCCGTGTTATGGACCACAGGAGGAATAGCTACGAACAAACTTGTATGCTTTTATTTTTTTTTATTTATTTATTTCTGTATTCTTTAACCAGGGTGGCACTACTCAGTGACATAGCACTGCTTTACAGAGTGGCCCTGGGTACAACACATATATACACGGCAATACAACTGTTACAATATATATACCAAAACAATGTCATAATCGTGATCCATTACTCGTAATCGGGGTCATGCCAGGTCTTAAGGGAGGGAAGTCAGAGGTCACGTAATTGAGAATAAAGTGTTCTGAACGTCTGCTAAATGTGGACCCTATATTTAAGTGAAGTCATCAAAGTCCTGGTAGAGGCTAGGCCTGCGTTAGTAAATACGTGAATTGGCGTACTAGAATCAACGAGGTGCTATTGACAAACATGCACCAGAGTTTGAATATCTCTGAATCCCCGCTGACACGGACACACCTGCCGCACGCAAGGACGTTGCCATGGCAACAGGATAACCTACAGGCCTCACGTATCTCTTGATGGAAGTCGGGAGGGTTCCTGGCCAATATTTGCGGACGGAACTCCAGTCGTTCAGTCATATAAATGTACTCTGCGTCAATGGTTAGAATTAAGAACAAACAGACATTTTCTCATATAAGATTGCTGCATTTGCTGAAGATGATAAATGGCTGAACAGATGGAACTGCTCTCAGAAAAGTGGTTTCAACACTTAATAAGGTTAAAAATCACCAAATTAGACCCTGTGTCTATATTAAGTATTTACGTAATGTACATCTTTCTCTTAGCCTGAGTGTCAGCCTTGTTAGCTTGCGGGGAGCGGTAGCCTCTACCAGGCTTCGGGAGGCGACTGGAAAGAGTAGAATCGGCCAAATAGAGAGTGATAAGCATGCCAAGGGAGTTTGTCCGTTGAGAGAACATTTCGCCGCACCCCGGGTTCAAACTCCCTTGGCATGGTTATTTCTCTATTTGGCCAACTTCTACTCTTTCCAGCCGCTTCCCCAAGCCTGATAGAGGCTCGAGAGCGGATCTTGGGGAGCGGACGAAAGCTAACAAGGCTGACACTCAGGTTATCTTTCTCGTTATGTCCTTTGGCGTTTTACCTAGCATATGTTTTTCAAGCTCAAGTAATACCGAACGTGAAGTGTTGAAAAAAGCACATTTGGCACCCGCAAATGATACCCTTTTTTATCTCAACATGCAAACAACACAATACATAGTGGTGACGCACTCATCACAAAACATGGGCAACGTCCAGGTAACAAGAAAACAGAGTTTTAATATGATCATAAAATTAATATAGAACTACAAATCAGTTATCAAATCGAATTTAGCTATTAAGATTATAAAATTAATACAGAACTATAAATCAGTTATTAAATCGCTTTATGACTTTGTCGCTTTATGACTTCAATCGCTTTATACCCGTTTATGACTTTGATTTGGTCACTAGGCCCTCAGTACGCATGCCCCGGGGTGATGTGTGATGTCTGGTGCCCGTTCGGTCATGTGCAAGACGACAATGGATGTGACACTTGCGCCTGTAACAACGGTAAGAGCCAGGGAACATACGTCGTACGACGTCATCTCGAATTTAGAACCCAAGCTTGTATAAGCGGCACTAAACTTTTTTTTGTTACATAGTATACTCTGTTTTGTTTGTAATATCTAAATCATAGAACACTTCTCTTTTGATATATTACTGTATGTATGGGGTCTAGTTTTCAGCGCACTACTTTACGACTATTTGTATGACCATTGTATTTATGTTAAATGTTAAGTGGGGCTGTAAAATAAGTTGTATAACTTGAGTTCAGTCCCACTTCGTCCTTGTATTTGAATTGTTTTATTCAATAAAAAAAATTTAGAACCCCCAAAATAGGCGAAGCGTTCTAGTGCCCTGATTAAGGGGGAGGGGCAAAAAATCGAACATCAATATTTCTCCCTGAAAATTTATGTGCCACCATAACCTACTACAAGGTACACAGATCTGGTAATCTTGTTTCAATATCGCTCCTCTATGAAAAATTATGAGTCTTAAAACTCCTATGCCGCTGGACTAGGATGAAGTCTACATGAGTAGTAATTGCACGTACTAGTAATCACACAGTAGATTGACAGCCGTTTCTGTTTTGTTTAGCCCCCCAGTCGCTATGCACCCCCGTGATGTGTGACATGTACTGCCCCAACGGCTGGGCGCAAGACGAAAACGGATGTGACGTCTGCAGCTGTGACGACAGTAAGTGTCGTGTGTTTTCACGTGACGTCATCGCTAAGGTCCGCCGCCATCTTGTATTTCAGTGTCTCGCATAGTAACTATGCATAGAGTCTTTGGAACCCAGAAATTCTTCTCCACTCTCTCAAACACTCGAAAGATTGGCGATAAAACACACACAGATTGTCTGCACATGTCTCACGATATATTTGATTGGAAGGCAAAAGGCCACAAAAATGGCGGGCAACATTCAACCGCGACCTCTTTACTGATGTGTAACATAAAGCAAGTGATCAGACAAACAAAAGACCCCCCCCCCCAGACGCATTCGGATGTGAAGATGGAAATGACAATGCATTCATCTATAAAATGAACACCCAACTTCGGGTAGGGATGGGACTATTTTCAGTAGTAATCACATGTAACTACGCAAAACTACGAAAACCACGCTTTCCTTTTTCAGCACTCGGTTCCAGTGCGGAAAGTGGCTTCAGCACTGGACTTCCAGTGCTGAATGACCTTCGAACCTCCTGCCGCCATTCTGCCGCGCTTTCAGCACTGGTAACCGAGTGCTGACAGGATTCTGGCACTGGAACACCAGTGCTGAAAGGATTTCAGCACTGGTGTTCCAGTGAAAGGATTTCAGCACTGGAAACCGAGTGGTCAGACAACGTTCAGCACTGGAACACCAGTGGTGAGGGCGCTTCAGCACTGGAAAAAGGCCGTTCAGCACTGGAACACCAGTGCTCGGCTCTCGTCGGTACTGGACGTCCAGTGCTGACGCCGTTTTGTCCATTGAATCAGCACTGGAACACTAGTGCGGAAGGCGTGGCTTTCGTATACTTGCTGTAACTACAGTGAATTGACAGTCCGGTTCTGTTTTGTTTAGCCCCACAGCCGCTATGCAGCCCCGTGATGTGTGAGATGTACTGTCCCAATGGCTGGGCGCAGGACGAGAACGGATGTGACGTCTGCAGCTGTGACGTCTGTAAGTGTAACGTGGCGTCATTTCCGCCGCCACCTTGTATTTTAATGAATAGTATAGTAACGATAGAGTCTTTGGAACAAAGGAAGTCTTAGCCACTCTTTCAAATAATTGACATATTCAGGAAGAATTTTCGACAAACAAGAAAAACTATCAACTCATCGATATTTTAATCATTCCTACGCCCATCTTCAGAAGGGATGACCCACTCGTTGCAGACACGTGACCTCTAGAACATGTGACGTAACTTGATATGTTTTCGGCCTCCCCCTCCAGCCGGATCAAAGTGCCCGCCGCTGCCGTGTGACGTCTGGTGTCCCTACGGTCACGTGCAGGACGACAACGGTTGCGACACTTGCATGTGCAACGGTAGGAACCCCCCCCCCTTTTCCCAGATTTCAATAAGGAGGTTCTAACTATACGATTAAGCCGTAAACCATCCCATACGCGAAGGAAACGTACCACTAGTCGCACTCTCAACTCCAAGCAGATATTGTAGTAGCTTTGCAACATAGCAATTAAACCAACTATAGGAACTGTGGTTGACCACGCCCACGATATGTCACATATGTAGCCGTCCTTCGTCGTACCCGAACCTAAGAGCCCTTTTCGCAGCCGCTTCCAGTAGCCGATTCTAGCACCCAATTCGGCACCAAGAATAATAAAACAAATTATGTTTTTTAATGTTTGCAGAGGCGCCAGTGTGCCCAGACGTCATGTGCGGCCTCTGGTGTCCGAACGGAGTACTGCAGGACGAGAATGGTTGCGACACCTGCCGCTGCGACTGTAAGTCTGAACTCAGCAAATCAGCTGTGATTCTAACACTTCCCGGTACATGTTTAAAGTTAAAACTTTTGATCCAACACAAAAATCATCTCACCTAGAGCTTTCGACCAATCACCCTGGTCTTCCTCAGTAGACTGACCCAGTGAGACTTGTCACGTGGCTTCTTTGACGTGTGACTTCAGCACTGGGTCAAAGGTATCTGGTAGGCGATGTCGGCCCCCGTCGCGGTTCAATGAAGGGTAATGGGCCCTGATGCATATGGCTTCCTTCACCCCTCTCAAGAAATAGTCTTGTTCAGTGTCTAAAATCCTTACAGTATCAAGTGAAACAAAATGTCCGGGTGACTCTATGTGGATGCGTTGAGACACCTCTGAACTGGCAGAGCTAGGCCATGTATGTTCTTGAAACCTGGCTTTTAAAGACCACTCTGTTTCAGACTTCCCGGTATAGTTTGCTTTCCCCACCCCACTCAGGTGTACAATGGTTACCTGACTTTGGTTGGGGAAGTAAAAGGTGGTAGAAGGAGAAGGGTTAGCTTTGCGTGCCCTAGACCCACACTGCCCCTTCCGCCTTAAAGACACTACCGTTTTACGGAAGTATTGTTTTGGGTGGCAGAGCTGTGGGTTTGTGTGTCTGTTTGCTCGAGGAGGTTGACAGCATGTGGGTGGGTGGGTGTCAGATTGACAAACATGACTGCAAGGAGGTCAAAGGTGTCAGAATCTTGCCGATTAAGAGGTCGACATGGGGAATGCCATTTTTGTTTGTTTATTTGCACATACATAAAACAAAAACAATACAGAAAGTAAATATACTAATCGAACGAAACAGAAGATGTGCTGGAGGAGAATAACTAATGCAACCTAGGTGCCAAACGGCTACATTAGCAGGCTGAAGGTTAAAAAAAAGAAAATCATTTTCGATGTAAAAGCCTTAGTAGGCTCTCTCTAGTGTATCATTCTATCACCTTTTTAGCTGATTGAAGTCAGAGGGAAACTGTTAATACATGTTTGTGACGTTTTTAACCCTTGTCCTGCTGACATTCCTGGCACAGTATTTTTCAATAATTTCATGTCTTAATTAGATCATAGACCCCCAATTTTTTTTGCCCTGCAGTGGCATAGTTACTTCCGCATTTGTTGCGTTTCACTGAAGTGTGATGCGTTGCACGAGAAATAACCCCCAAATTGTAGCTACACAGAATGCTATACAGATGGTGCTGTATGTGCAAAATAGCAATTGTTGTGCTCCGCAGGACAAATTTGTTTTGACGTTTGTTTTCCCTGAATGTATTGAATGTTTCTCCAGGGGACGGGCTGATGGTCGGGTAGGCTGTGTCACGTGACCTCTGACGTGGAGTAACCATGGTGACCAGCACCGGGTTATCGACTTTCACATCAGCTGAAAACTTCTACGTAATAAACGGTCTATCACTCATATCATATGGTCGTCTGATTCTGTATTTTTAAGCCACCGATGCATCTGCTTGGAGATTAAGTCATACAGCAAAGGTTCAACAAAGGCGATATTATCTAACAATGGAAGATAACGACTTCCTCTAAACGACGGAGATAATGACGAAAACTACGGTGGCCGACAGGCACAACTGTATAGATGTATAATATCTAGAGGTATTGACTATGTCTATTAGGTTTAGGAAGTAATTCGCATTTTTCTACAAGCCAGTGTCACTTTCTGGCCCCAATATACATACAAGAAGCCAGACACTCTATAATGCCGTCTCTCGCTCAAGAATCTCATACGGCTTCATCAGTTCTTCCAGCGACTTTTCCAACGCATCTGGCTCCGGTCTCGCGGTAGGGTTTTCCCGCCAACATGCCCGCATCAGCCCGTACAGATCCCCCGAGCACCCCGCCGGTCTCGGCAGCCGGATTCCCCGCCGGAGGATCACAGCTAGCTCCGGAAAACTCGGGTGATTCTTGTCGCCGTAGCACGGATCTTGTCCCAGCGTGGCGATCTCCCACAGCAGCACGCCGAAGGACCAGACGTCGCTCTGACAGGTGTACTCGCCGGTCTCGATGGACTCCAGCGCCATCCACTTCAGCGGAAGGAGCTTGTAGCACCCGTCGTGACTCGTGGAGACGTAATCAGCGGCGGTGTAGACGTCTCGCGCCAGCCCGAAGTCTGCCAACTTGGCCACGTCGTCCGCCGTGATCAGCACGTTCCTGGCGGCGACGTCGCGATGCACGATTCGCAGACGTTGGAGTTCTCCCAGCGCGCGTGCCACGTGTACCGCGTACCGAAGAAAATGGCCAAGCAGGACGGCCAGGGCTTCGTCTTCATTGTTTCTGAACTGCTGAAGGACCCACAAGAGGTCTCCTTTCGGGGAGTATTCTAGCAGGATGTACTTTTCTTTCGACTTGGTGATGATCCCCAAGAGCTGGACGATGTGTGACCTGCGAACGTCGTGGTCTTTCTCTTCATGCACGGCGACCAGGATGGCGGCTTCCCGGTAAAAGTCTCGGTAGGACTGCGCCTCTCCTGCGCGGACGGTCTTGGCGGCCACGACGACGTCCCCTTTCGGCGTGCGGAGCCGAGCTTGTATCACCTGCCCAAACTTTCCTATCCCTATCAGGGGACCAGGAGTAAGATGCTGGATCTTCTTCTGCCAGCGTTTGAGCCAGCCCGGCTGTAGGCTCTGCGCTAGGTCCTCCTCCACACGCTTCAGCTCACGCAAAACTTCCGCTTCGTGGTCTTCCTTTTTCACGAAACAGCCAGTCTTATAGAGCATGATAAATACTACTGTTGCAAACAGGAGTACCGATCCCAGGGGAACAAGGACTTCGATCAGCGATGTATAAGCCTGGGTGACTCGAACCCTCTCGCAGTTCCTCCCTTCCCACGGTGGCACACACGCACAGCTGCCGTCCACGTTGTGACAGGTGCCGATGTTTTGGCAGCTGCAAACCTGCCGGCACCTCCAACCGTACCGGCTTTTGGGACAGGGTCCGTCGCAGTCTGCTCCGTACCAGCCTGACGTGCAGTTACACCGGCCGTCGCTAGGGCTACAGCTCGCCCCGTTTTGACATGTACAGTTCCTTGCACAGTCTTTACCGTACGTGCCATGGGGACATTTTGTCTGACACCTGGTTCCCGTCCATCCCGGCGGACAGACACAACCGGCCCACCGGTCACAGCTGGCACCTTGTAGGCAATCACACACTTCCTCACAGAGTTCGCCTTTTCTGTTCTGTGGACAGTTGACGTCAAACACAATGGTTGCATCGTAGACCTTTCCGTCTTTGTCTCTGGCCTGGCACGTATAGAGACCGTCGTCGCGTAACTGTGTGTTGAAAATATTTATGTCCAATTGAGTTACACCGGCATTGACTATTTCAGAAGCATTAGGAAACCGCAGTAACAAAGTTTCGACTCCCATGTGGTACACGCGGCAGTGAATCGTCACGTTGGCGGAAATGTAAATCTCCCGCGAATCGCCAGGCGTCGTTGTTGCGGAAATGTCAGGTTTGGGAATGTCGCAGGCGACACCCTGCCAGCCGTGTTGACATTTACACGCACCATTAAACCCGTGGCAGCGGGCGCCGTTCTTACAGATACAGGTTTGGTCGCAGAGTAAGCCGAATTTCCCAACAGGACAGCCTTTTAAGTGGACGTCTATGTGTAAAGACTGCACGTTTATAAGTTTTATCGGGTTTTTATAATTGCTTATACGCACAGGTCCTTTTAATTTGGGAACTTTGCAGACGTAACGTAACGTGGTCTTGGAAGGAAATGAAAAATTCCCCATGGCAATAAATTTCCCACTCGTACGTAAACACTGTGTCAGAGGAAAGACAGGATGTTGTGAATCAAGTCCATAATCAAACAGCTCGGCAAAATTATGACTGCTGAAATCTGTACGACAAGTCACCTTACGGACTTTCCCGTACGTAATTAGCTCCTCTGCTGTTACAATATCAGTCCGAGAATGTACAGGCCATATAGCCTTCACTCGACAAGTACCACTTTCTTCGTCCAGCGGACATGGTGCCTGTCTGAGGCTCGTTTTTTCCCATGTATTTCGTGGCTTGCTCACTCCGGAGCTTAGTAAAACCACATCCCCACTCTCTATCTCAGCTTCCCCTTTGAGTTGCAAGCTAAACAGATATTCTCCAGTGTCCTTACCGGTTGGGTTGGTGGGAGTTTCACACGTCTCGTTGTACACGGGAGGATAGCCCGGCACGTCGGTAACCTGTATCAAGACAGTCACGACTTCGTCCACTAGACCACCGACGCGAATCTTGACTGTGTATTCCCGCTGTACTGACCAGTCCAGAGGGTTGGCGACCACAAGGGCGCACTCCTCGGTCAGACGGAACCTGCCGTACGGATCTCCCTCCGTTTTCGCACACGGAAGTTCCGCTTTTCGTGTGGCCAACAGCTCGCTGGCAGCGACAATCTCTGTCCCAGGGTTCGCCGTTTCAGGCACGGACACGCTGAGGTTGCGACCTGCAGACAACCTGGCCCAACTCGGGACGCCGTAGACAACCAGCAGAAGCGATATCAGTAGGTTATAAGCCATGACAAAGCGGTTTGTGGGAATAATGTTGACAGTGAAAAAAAACCAGCACCAACGCAGGGGCACAACCCGTCGTGTTCCTGGTAATTATCTCCTATTTAACTGGTATATCGCCTAAGGGAATGCTCGCTTGTTGAAGGTCCTTGAGTTTGTTGCAAACATAATGGTACGCTCTCACTCAGTGCTGTTGCAAACCTAATATGTTACAATTGTGCGGTCCCAGTATTTCTTATACACCCTCACACCGTCATGATTTTCAACCAGTTTAGAATAAGAAATTAATTTTGATACATGAATACGCACTCACAGATCATACAAAGATAACAAGAGCGACAAAGGCGGGGAATAAACAAATCATAAGTTACAGAAGACCTTATGAAATGAGTTTATTACGTTAACATTTTCAGCTGAAATCAAAGTCGACAACCTGCATGGTGCTGGTTACCATGGTAACGCCACGTCGACGATCACGTGACGCAGCTTACCCGACAAGCACGCCGTCCCCTGGAAAGTCATGCTAATCTCCAAGCAGATGTTTCGGTGGCTGCAAAATATCAACTTGGCAAGGGAAATCCATTGGCAAATGAATACGGTCTGGACAATGGATACTGCCTTTATTAGCTGTCTCTTCCTTCCATGACTTACCATGTTCTCTGTGCGTGTGCTTGCGCGCGTATGTGTATGGTAAACACAGTGTAACAAAATAAGTCTCTTTCACAGGTCAATAATTTAAGAGTCCTGTCGGTGCGAAAGTGTGTAAGAAAGGGACAGATGTATCTTAGTGTCGAAATAGTGTACAGTATTTCGCAACAGCACTGAGAGCGATCAGATGTAACAAATTAGGCGCCTTTAACGAGGGAACTTTCCCTTGAGCGATACAATTTAAAAATAGGAGATAATTACGAGGAACGTCACTGCTGAACAGGACACGACGAGTTGTGCCCCTGCGTTGGTGTTGGGTTTTTCCACTGTCAACATTATTCCCACAAACGGCTTTGTCATGGCTTATAACCTACTAATATCGCTTCTGCTTGTTGTCTACGGCGTCCCGAGTTGGGCCAGGTTGTCGGCAGGTCGCAACCTCAGCGTGTCCGTGCCTGAAACGGCGAACCTTGGGACAGAGATTGTCGCTGCCAGCGCGCTGTTGGCCACACGAAAAGCGGAACTTCCGTGTGCGAAAACGGAGGGAGATCCGTACGGCAGGTTCCGTCTGACCGAGGAGTGCGCCCTTGTGGTCGCCAACCCTCTGGACTGGTCAGTACAGTCGGAATATAACATCAAGATTCGCGTCGGTGGTCTAGTTGAGGAGGTCGTGAGCGTCTTGATACAGGTTACCGACGTGTCGGGCTATCCTCCCGTGTACAACGAGACGTGTGAAACTCCGATCAACCCCACCGGTAAGGACACTGGAGAATATCTGTTAGGATTTGAATTCAACGGGGAAGCTGAAATAGAAAGTGGAGATCTGTTTCTACTAAGGGCCGAAATAAGCAAAAAAATAGGTGACAGTGACACTCCGAGCCTTACGCATATACTCGATGCAAACAGTAGTAAATGTCAGCTAAAGGCCATATGGGCCGTACATGAGCTGAACGATATTGTAGCAGCAGAGCAGCTGATGGAGTCCGGGAAAGTTCGTAAACTCACTTGTTCAGACTTAAGCGGTCATGAACTATCCTTTCGGGTTTTTTACCTTCATCCTCTATCACGATATTTGCAACGCAGCGGGAAGCTTAATGGGGAATTCACTGTTTCGTTTCCCTCCAAGACCACGTTACGTTACGTCTGTAAAGTTCCCAAATTAAAAGGACCTGTGCGTATAAGCAAACCGCCAAACCCGATAAGAATTGTACACGTGCAGTCTTTACACATAGACGTCCACTTAAAAGGCTGTCCTGTTGGGAAATTCGGCTTACTCTGCGACCAAACCTGTATCTGTAAGAACGGCGCCCGCTGCCACGGGTTTAATGGTGCGTGTAAATGTCAACACGGCTGGCAGGGTGTCGCCTGCGACATTCCCAAACCTGACATTTCCGCAACAACGACGCCTGGCGATTCGCGGGAGATCTACATTTCCACCAACGTGACGATTCACTGCCGCGTGTACCACATGGGAGTCGAAACTTTGTCGCTGCGGTTTCCTAATGCTTCTGAGATAGTCAGAGTCGGCGTAACTCAATTGGACATAAAGATTTTCAACGCACAGTTACACGACGACGGTCTCTATACGTGCCAGGCCACAGACAAATACGGAAAGGTCTACGATGCAACCATTGTGTTAAATGTCAATTGCCCACAGAACAGAAAAGGCGAACTCTGTGAGGAAGTGTGTGATTGCCTACAAGGTGCCAGCTGTGACCGGTGGGCCGGTTGTGTCTGTCCACAGGGATGGACGGGAACCAGGTGTCAGACACAATGTCCGCATGGCACGTACGGTAAAGACTGTACCAGGGACTGCACATGTCAAAACGGGGCGAGCTGTAGTCGTAGCGACGGCAGGTGTAACTGCACGGCAGGCTGGTACGGAGTGGACTGCGACGGACCCTGTCCCAAAAGCCGGTACGGTTGGAGGTGCCGGCAGGTTTGCAGCTGTCAAAACAACGGCACCTGTGACAACGTGGACGGCAGCTGTGCGTGTGTGCCACCGTGGGGAGGTGGGAACTGCGACATGGTTCGAGTCACTCAGGCTACATCGCTAATCGAAATCCTTGTTCCCATGGGCTCCGTACTCTTGATCTTTATAGTACTACTACTCGTGTTGTACAAGACTGGCTGTTTCGTGAAAAAGGAGACCACGAAGCGGAAGTTTTGCGTGAGCTGAAGCGTGTGGAGGAGGACCTAGCGCAGAGCCTACAGCCGGGATGGCTCAAACGCTGGCAGAAGAAGATCCAGCATCTTACTCCCGGTCCCCTGATAGGGATAGGAAAGTTTGGGCAGGTGATACAAGCGCGGCTCCGCACGCCGAAAGGGGACGTCGTCGTGGCCGCCAAGACCGTCCGCGCAGGAGAGGCGCAGTCCTACCGAGACTTTTACCGGGAAGCCGCCATCCTGGTCGCCGTGCACGAAGAGAAAGACCACGACGTTCGCAGGTCACACATTGTCCAACTCTTGGGGATGATCACCAAGTCGAAAGAAAAGTACATTCTGCTAGAATACTCCCCAAAAGGAGACCTCTTGTGGGTCCTTCAGCAGTTCAGAAACAATGAAGACGAAGCCCTGGCCGTCCTGCTTGGCCATTTTCTTCGGTACGCGGTACACGTGGCACGCGCACTAGGAGAACTCCAACGTCTGCGAATCGTGCATCGCGACGTGGCCGCCAGGAACGTGCTGATCACGGCGGACGACGTGGCCAAGTTGGCAGACTTTGGGCTGGCGCGAGACGTCTACACCGCCGCCGATTACGTCTCCACGAGTCACGACGGGTGCCACAAGCTTCTTCCGCTGAAGTGGATGGCGCTGGAGTCCATCGAGACCGGCGAGTACACCTGCCAGAGCGACGTCTGGTCCTTCGGCGTCCTGCTGTGGGAGATCGCCACGCTGGGACAAGATCCGTGCTACGGCGACAAGATTCACCCGAGTTTTCCGGAGCTCGCTGTGATCCTCAGACGGGGGATCCGGCTGCCGAGACCAGCGGGGTGCTCGGGGGATCTGTACGGGCTGATGCGGGCATGTTGGCGGGAAAACCCTACCGCGAGACCGGAGCCAGATGCGTTGGAAAAGTCGCTGGAAGAACTGATGAAGCCGTATGAGATTCTCGAACGAGAGACGGCGTTGTAGACTGTATTGTGCCTGTGATGTTGTGCGAGACTTTATATGACTAGACTATACGAAACGGCATGCAAGTAACAGAGGGGTTGGGAACGAAAAAACGGGGAGGCATATTAAAGTTCTGTGCGAGTTCGTGCATATGGAAGAGGACAAATATGCCTAAGTACTTTCCATCGAGAGGACGCGTAGATTTACAGCTTTACGAGCAGTTGTAGCATATTAAACATACTCTTAGTCTCCTCCAGGTCAACTGCTTACAGAGTGTGTGACTAACGCCTGGTAAAGCTGTATCAAAAAATATCTAAACACCAATGGGAGCCTAGATTCGCCGGGCATCACCATAGTAACCAGTCACGTGGTCTGTGCCGATGTCAATAACACCGCATAGTCAAGGTTTATATAACTATCATATAACTATTATGTAACTTTTATATAACTATTATATATCTATTATGTAAGTATTATATAGTCATCGTTTATCTTTGTTTTATAATTCATTTTTTCATCTAGTGATGAGTCTGCAGGTTAATGTTTATATTTGTTTTCTAACACTTATCTGTTATCTACATTATAGTGACGAGGTATTTACTGGTTCTATCTAGGACCGGAATTGGGGTGGTTAGATGTGTAAAATTTGTGTAAAATGACATAAAATAAAAACGTGTTCTTGATATATATTCATCCTGCAATGGAAACATATTAAGAGTCTTTTCTCTGTCATTAGCCATATAGACTAAAGGTATTATAGTTTTCACATTTTTATGTCTTTGTAGTGTGAATTATGTGGCACTTATTTGACTTCGATTGGGTGCTTTTCGAAAAACGGGTTTGTTGATATTGATATACTGTTTAAGTACAACCTCTAAGGATTTTGACAAACGTATGTATACTAGTTTTAGGGCCAGAAAGTAACACCCACTGACTTGTACTTTCTGAACATAATATACATAGTCAATAGTATATATAGTCAATACTTAGCGTGGGGTCGTGTGGCGTAGCGGCAGAGTGTTCGACTCGGAACCAAGAGGTCCCGGTTCGAGTCATGACATGCCACCGATCTTGTGCCACCGATCTTGTGCCAGGAACTTTACACGACTTTCCTCACTTCGCTCAGGGGAAAATGTGTATTGTATTGTCCCTTGTGTTGCTGGCGGCATTAATATAAGTTGAAAAAAACTTGAGTGTGCCGTTCCCACGTCTTGTGATTACATGTTGGAATATAGTCAGCATCTCTAGATACGTATTACACATCAACAGTTGTACCTGTCGGCCACCGTACTTTTCGTCATTATCTCTGTCCATAGAGGAAGTTGTTATCTCCTATTGTTAGATAATGTCACCTTTGTTGACCCTTTGACCTTTATCACTGTATTGTACATTGTAGCGCCTGTTCAGGCCTCACCGACGTAATTTTATGGATGACATCCTCTGAAGACCCCCAAACTAGTGCGTGCGGGCGAATAAAAAAAATCCGGCCAAAAATAAAAATGCTACTAAACCACAGGAATACAAAACTGGTACTGTGAATTAGCGGCAGTACATAGCGACGTATACGACAAGCCTGCACATGCTGGCTTTTTGCGGAATTTATGAATCGACACTGCACGCATGTAATGAGCTCTTGAGTCGTGGAGCTTCGGTAGCCTGGGTGCCATCCTCCAGAGTTACCACTGGCTCCGTATTGTCGCTAGCAACCATTGACTACCCAGGCCTAGAGCCAGGCCAGAGCCTCGGAGGACGTGGTCTTTTTTTTTGAGAACAGGCAAAAAGTCATCCATAAAATTAAGTGGGTGTGGCCTTAGCCTGTTTACCACACCTATCTTATATTAGCTCCCCACCTTTGTTGAACCTTTTGGCGGGTCTATTTGGAAATATGTTGTAAGAAGCTGGAGAATCTCCCACGGTTCTTTTACTAAAACGAGACGCTGCCTGCACACCCTGTCTTAGTACATTTTCTTCGTCTTCTGATCAGGTGAGGCTATGGGCGTTTATACATAATACTACCCTTTTTTATATTCCAACATTTCATGACTAGACATGGTGACAGCACACGCGGTTAATAATATAATATATTAACTTATTTCATGCCGCCACCAACGCAGGGGACGAATACAGAATGACAAGGCAATACTCATTTTCACCTGAGTTAAGTAAGGAAAGTCGGGTAAAGTGCCTTTCCCAAGGGCACAAGATCAGTGGCATGTCAGGACTCGAACCCGGGACCTCTTGGTTTTTGCGTCGAGCACGCTGCCACTACGCAAACGACCCCAAATGCTACACTTACAGTACTCCGAGGTAGTATCGTATTTTGTCGCCTGTTTACGAAACTTATTTTAGCTCCCGAGTCCTACATTCTCTCCGAAAATAGAGAATGTAGGACTCTAGCCTGGTTAACAAACCTATTATAGCTCTCGATAATCTCCAAGCAGATCTTTTGGTGGGGTTATGACAGTATCAAATAGGCCAATCTGTAACCATTTCCCCGCCCGAGTGGTGTCTTACCCCCACCAAAAGATCTGCTTGGTGATTAGCTCTCGAGTCCTAAATCCTTTCCGCTACAACCAGTCTAGAAGGACTAGGGAGCTAAAATAGGTTTGTGAAAAAAACCAGCGTACGTATTTCGAGCCAGTATCTTATATTATATTGTTTGTAGTATCAGATGACAATATTAATTTGGACATGTCCGTATTCACTATGATATGTTTGGAACGAAAAATGCAATGGTGATCATCTTTTATTTTGTTTAAACTATTCCGTTACTGTATTTCATAACCCGATCCAATAAAATTTTTATGTTTACATTAAGTTACAAGCCTCTAAAGTAAAGGTTTTGATGATCCTTCGGATGATCTATTGAAAGTGCCTTGAGGTTTATCTTCTCTACTGAGCCTCTACCAGGCTTCGGGAGGCGGCTGGAAAGAGTAGAAATCGGCCAAATAGAGAGATAGCATGCCAGGGGAGTTTGGTCGGCAGGGGAGAACAGTTGGTCGCTATCTTGGTATGCTATCTCTCTATTTGGCGATTTCTACTCTTTCCAGCTGCCTACAGAAGCCTGGTAGAGGCTATTCTCTACTAACAGTTGCTGTCGACATACGCAGGTTTTGTTCATCACCGAATCAACAATGGGACCCTTCATTCTGTTCTTCGTTGCCATGGCGACGGCCTCTCCAGTGCGCAGGTGCGTAATGTACCGTTATCTATAATACAACGTGTCTTAACTGCCAGAAAACATAGCTTATAAACCAATCATATGTTTTGTTTGTTTGTTTCGCAACGTCTCTAACCGATGCTAGGGACTCATTTCCAACTGAGTGAAGTGAGGAAAGTCGTGTAAAGGGCCTTTACTAAGGGTACAAGATCGGTGACATGGGCAGGATTTGAACCCGGGACCTCTTAGTCCTGATCCGAACACGCTACCGTTTAAGCCACACGACCCCATGGTTTTAGCTTACAGTACTGGACTGTATACTAAGACAGCTATTTGTTTAACCTTTATTTAAACTTTTCAAGTCTTTTCATTAGGGAAGCATTCACAAATAAGCTTGTTCCATCGTGATGTAGTTCTATGTTACGTACACGTACAGGCAGAGCACGTTTGGCATAATGGACCTTGACGGTGATGGCAGACTCTCCAAGTCCGAGGTGTTGGCCAGCATGACTCTGGATCAGGCTATCCTAGCCGTGGACCACGACGGTATGCCAAGTTTGATAAACATCCATAACGTTACCCAACTTTCTCCCTGCTCAATTTGCCACTTGGCACGAAATTTGTATTTGTTTCTCTCGTTCATAAAATACTGAGATCTGCCTTCTGCTGAGCAAGCCTCATACCATTTATCTGGTCAACAAGCGTCACTATCTTGGAGGCTCCAATTGTGGGTTAAAGATGCCGGGAGCGATGGGTCAAATGTCGATGGGAGTATGTATCACCCTCCGTCCCGGCTAATGGTCTTTATCTGTCGCGCAGGCGACGGGTTCTTCAGCCCGCTGCAAGTCTTTCAGCTGACGGACGACGCGCAAATCTTCCACGTTCTCGACGCCGACCACGACGGCAGAGTCAGTTACGACGAGGTTCGCGCGGGAACCAACATGGCGCGCATCTTCGACAGGGAGGACACCAACAGTATGTGCTATATGTAATACTGGTGTGAGTGTGTATTACTCGTGTGTGTGTGTGTGTGTGAACGGGTGTGTATGTGTGTGTGTGCATGTGTGTGTGCGTATGCTTGTGTGTGCGTGTGTGTTTGCATGTGTGTTTGTGTGTTTGTGTGTGTGTGTGTTTGTGTGTGTGTGTGTGTGTGTGTGAGAGAGAGAGAGAGAGAGAGAGAGAGAGAGAGAGAGTGCACCCTTTCCTTCATATCCCTTGCAATACGCATTCTACAATACATATTTCAGATGGCTGACTGCGAGCAACACGCACATACTAGTCTTATGGCAACTTATTTTTGCTGGATGCCGGTTAAGACACCAGTCGCGTAGAGACTTACCTGCCTAGAAATTACTAGTGAATTTTGTGTAATCTGTAACTGTGCTATCATCAACATAATCCTAACTTAAGAAGTCTGCTAAGTAGTATAACAAGTAGTACAACGATTTTAAAGATTTCGTCTACACCCCCTCCGCAGTGGACGGGTACCTGGACGGCCCAGAGGCAGATAAGATAGTTTTCATCTTCACGGAGGTCTTCACGCACGGCCTGTGGTACTACAGCAGGGACCAGATAGACGCGGACGGGGACCAGCTTCTGTCCAAGGACGAGGTTCTGAACGCCATCACCCTGGACCAGGTCTTTGCTGCGGCGGACGACGACCGTAAGGCCATGTTTTTTTTTCTTTCCCAGTTTCCCAATGGCATTTCAACATTCATCACAAGACATGGCGACGGCACACTCAAGTTTTGTGAACTTATTTCTATGCCGCCACCAACAAGGACAACAGACATACTCGTTTTCACGTCAGTAGATTCGTGTAAAGTGCCTTTAAGTTTCCCAACGGCATGCAAAACTAAACTAAACTAAAAACATTTATGAACTAGAAAAGTAACAGTTGCAAAGCAAATGCATAATGTTTACCTTCGGATATGGTCTGCTCTGTTAATTCTTACTCAAACACATTCACATACATGTATATGGTGACAGGAGTCTAAATGCCTACAATGAAATTGCCACATTGTGTGTGTGTCACATTGTGTAACCCGACACCAGTTACTATGGTGACAGACGTAAACAAAAGAGGCCATTGGCCAGGTCAGAGGTTAGTGTTTGGAGAAGAGGAAATGGAAATGGGGCAAAAACAATATGTTTTCCTTCGGTAAACATAATAATGTCACCCTACTTACAGCATATACGTAGGCGACAAACTACGTGTACGTGCAACATATATGTCAGTGGCAGCATTAGAGGTTAAGTATACCTGACCATACGTGTACTTCTATTCTGTGTTGAGCAGAAGACGGCGCCTTCAGCCAAGTTCAGATGGAGGTCACCTTTAACCCCACGACCTTCCAGACGCTCGACGCCAACGCGGACGGCAAGGTCAGCTTCGGCGAGTTCCGCAAGGTCATGGACATGGGAGACGTCTACGACTTCAACGACATAGACGGTAATATGATCTCTATTTTCCAGAACCACATCAAGCATGGGGAAAAGGCACAGAGGTCGACCCAACTATTCTCCAAGCAGATCATACGGTGGCAAGGCAGAATCCATTGGCCAGAAGAGTGTCCATTTGCCACCTGGTGGCCGATGGATACTGTCTTGCCAAATCCATACTGTCTTTTGAAGCCACTGAAAAATGTTTTTGGCACAACCTGACCATTATGCATAATGTATTAAGCTTTGTTGGACCTTGGTTGTAGTACACCATTCAAAAGTCCTCCCTACACATTAGTCGAGTCAATAAAAAATATTCTAACGGTCTTAATCTTTTTTTTTCGGCCACCTTCCAGGAAGTGGGTGAAGAGCTTGAACAGAGGAATTTTTCTGTCAGTATCTTCCACTGTCGCTTGTTCATACCGTATCCAAGGCAACACGTTTCCATGGTTTCCATTTCACGCGGCTACATGTATTTTCCATGAAGTGGTTTCATTGAAGACCCAGGACAGAGGAGCTAGTAGTAGTTGTCTGTTCCCTATTATTGTATTGCACCGTATAGTATCTGTACAAGCAATTAGCCTTCAGGAATTTTTCGCAAATAAAGACTAATCTGGAACACTCTGCCGCTACAGCAACAACAGCTCCTTAGTCTCAGGAGTTTTAAACAGGTCATTAAGAACAGGACTTGATTTAGTTACTGTGTATTTGTTGTATGTATTTTGATGTGTATCCAGGATTACCTGAAAAGCAGGCCAAAATGGCCTGTGCTGTAATTACTGGTAAACAAATAAACCGAAACTGACTATATTATCTTCCAGGAAGTGGGTTCTTGGAAGACCCTGAGCAGAGGAGCATCGTGGGCGTGTACAACCTGATCCAGAACGTGGCCCCTTAAATCAATTTTAGTCTTCTCCTTCTTCGCAAATCTCCATTTTCACCTTTTTGGTGCAACCTGGCATAACTATTGTACCCAGGACCATGTCTATCTAGTTTATGGGCTAGTGTTAGGATCAAACACGTTTCTGGATAGTCTCCACGTCTTTGGTATAACCTGATCACCATGTATAATGTATTTAGCACGAGAAATACCCCCAAATCGTACATATACAGGGCACTATATAGATGGCACTGTATGTGCAACTCATATACATATATGGGCCCCGCAGGGCAAGGATTTTAATCTTCCGTTTCTGGCGGCCATCTTCTAGGAAGTGGGTTCCTGGAAGACCCTGAGCAGAGGAGCATCGTGGGCGTGTACAACCTGATCCAGAACGTGGGGGCCGCGTTCCCAGCCGACCCGAACCTGGACACCGACGGCGACGGGAAACTGTCCAAGCAGGAGGTCATGAGCGCCATGACTCTGGAGCAAATCATGCTGGCAAACGATGCTGATGGTAGGTATTAACCTTCACTTTATTGGCATCCACATTTAGCATATATACATGTACAAGACAGTAGCTATTCTTCCTGTGCTCCGTTCTAACATACTGTACAACACGAGATTTATTATACGTTTATTTAACCACAAAAGACATGCGATGATCACTCTTGACACACAGAAAAAGAAAGAGGATGAACGTGGTCCGAGCAACAATGACCTGTCCGACACTACATGTATGCTCGACATAGATGTTCGAAGGGACGCCAGGAGTTAGCCTCTGTCAGGCTTCGGAAGGCGGCTGGTAAAGAGTAGAAATTGGCCATATGATGTTCTTGGCCAAACAGAGATAACATGCCGGGGGAGTTGGTCTGCTAGAGCGTACAGTTTGCCGCACCCGGTTTTCCAGCCGCCTCCCGAAGCCTTGTAGAGGCTAACTCGTGGTGTCCCTCCGAACATCTATGTCTAGCATACATCTCCCGACTGTGGAATCGCTTACCCGGCGAGGTCACAGGGTCGGCCACCATCTCCGTATTCAAGGCCAAATGCAAACACCACCTCTTATCCTGATTACCTAAACACCAATTGTAAATAAAAACCCTCCAACCGTTCCATTTCAACTTTGATCATTTTATCGATTTGTATTGTACTTACATTGTATTATGTATTACATTGCTTATGTATTGATTGAATTTGTATGTACTTTGTATGTTTATTGCTATGTAAATATTGAATTGAATTTGTATATACTAAGTGATATTGTATTTAGTTATACTGTACTTTGTATTTATGCACTTATGTGTCAGTGGTAGCCGCTACCAGCCTTGTTGCTGCCTGATTGCCACTTGTTATGCACAGTTGCATTTAAATAAACAAACAAACAACAAACATACCGAGCTTAGCTGAACTTGTTTCCCCAGCTGACGGCAAGTTCTCCGAGATCGACATCTTGAGTTACTTCAGCCGGGACTACTTCGCGCGCATGGACGCGGATGGAGACGGGTTCGTCACCTTCGCGGAGATGCGCGCCGTCATCGACGTGGGGTCGTTCTTCGACTACTGCGATGCCGATGGTACGTTGCTTTTGTTTTGTTTTGTTTTGTTTGTTGGTTTGGCATAACTATCGTACTCGAAGCCGCGCCTATCTAGTTCCTTGAGGGTTAGAATCAGGCAGGGTAACGTTCTAGATAGTCTCAGCGTATCCAACATTTAGCCAACAACGTAGACTAAATGTGATACAGACGGCTTGTTTGTTTGCTTGGCATACCTATCGTACCCAGAGCCGTGCCTATCAAGCTCTATTTATATGTCTGAATGGGTAAGGGTAAGGATCAGGCACGGTTCTGGATAGTCTCCGCGTATCTAATAGTATTAACGTACTAGATTATTTTTGACCGAGGTACGGGTCTGGATACGTAGACTATATGTAGACTATCGAGAACCGTGCCTGAGCAGATTCTAGATACAGCAATAACCTGTAAATTGCCCTGAAGGGTAACACATCATAAGTCATGCACACTATCTACAAGCTAAAAAAAATTTGCGGATCAAGATGGTCTTGATTACTGAATACGACTTTGCCACCGACAAGTGGATGCTGCTTAAGCTTGTAGATTATGAAACTCTCATGTCTTTTAGGTAACGGCTTTCTGGAGAGCCTGGAGCAGTATAAGGTCATCGCCCTGTACTACCCTATTCTGTTCTACGATTTTAGCAACACTGCCGGCACTAACTAAACTGCAGGTATGTTACAGTTTTCCATATATTAACTTATGGTGATTTTTGATACTTTTGCAGTCTTAGTTTTGCTAGGACGGGGTTAGTCATCATTGTGATCTACCCACAGTAGCTAGACATGGGTTAGAATCAATGACAACTATTTCAAATGATAGAACGCTACTTATCGATAATCAAGCAACATCGATCCTTTTTTCTCTCCCAGCAAGAACAAAATATTCACTACAGAACTCTTTTCTACATCAATCTGTCAAACTTTATAATCAGAAATGTTCATGAAATGCTTTACTAACCTTTGTTCTTTTTCACCAACAGTTGGATGGTCGGTCTTTGCAGCATGAACAACGGGGAACAGCCTGGGCTTCTTCTGTATACTGTAGTTCAAAGAATAAATACCGATGAAATGCAATGTAGTTTTTGGTCTCTATTATTGTCTTACAAAGATTGTACACGCACAGAGGTAGTGCCACTTATTCGCCTGATAAAAGAAATATTTACGGTTACAAATAAAACCTACAACCATCAGGGAAAACTAGCGGCTGTATAGATAATTGTTAATGATTAAACCTGCATTATGTAACATATTATCATTAAGACCATACCATCAGTAAATTTTATGACTATGTCTTTATAGCAACGTATGTTGAATCAACCCTACTCAATAGCAAATTAGTGCAGTTTAGGAAGTGGAGCTGCAAAAATATGGCGTCTTATGAGTATGCCTGGTCTGTTTTAGCGCATAAGCACGGTCTTGTTCGCCCTTATATCAGTTTTCAGCGGACTTTGACTTTTCAAAACGACTCTTAAAGACCTGTAAACAGCCTTTCCAACTACATATGAATACCTCTCGACCTGCTCCCGACCATGGTCTGGAAAGGCAATGATAGGCTATGTATGACAAGTGTGAAATCACTCAACCGCGACGGGGGCCGACAAGATGTTGACCCTTGACCCAGTGTGACGTCACACTTGAAGTCACGTGACAAGCCTCACTGGGTCAGTCTACTGAGGAAGGCCAGAGTGACTGGTCCAAATATCTAGGTGAGAAAACTTTGTTCTGCATATGCAATCATGGGAAAGTCCTACAGCTGCGTTCAGTGTTTTCTTATCTTCTTCCACTGTGTCTTGTGCCTCGCGAGCTCCCTTAACTCTCATCGTTTCTTTTCTGTTGTAGGAGGACCTAGCCCTCTGTGCTTCAGGTCTGGTCCCTTGCTGATACTGGTTGTTTGTTTTAAAGATTTTTTCGACCCATTGAATTACTCTAAATGACACCATATGCAGGTTATTGCACGTAAAATTCGAGCTGTGGGGCTAGGTATTTCAGAGTACCCGTACCGAACCTGCACTGGTTCATGTATTGGGTTTATATAGGTGTATGTGTGTGTGAGTGTGTGTGTGTGTGAGTGTGTGTTTGCATGTCTTGTCTTGTCTTGTCTTGTCTTGTTCGGGTACTGCACAACACCCCTAGATTGGGGTAAAACGTGCAGGGGAGCTGTGCGATGCGTTATTGCTGCTTCCTCAGGTGTTGTAGTACTGCAGCGTTGAACTTCGTGGGTTCCGCAGTATCAGTTATCTCTTGGGGCAAAATGTTCCAATCTCTGACAGTTTGTGGAAAATATGAATATTTGTAGCAGTCTTTGTGAAACGTTAGAGGTTTGTATGAGTTGGAGTTGAAGTGTCGCGATTGGCGCGGGATAGGCGTCAACAAGGTTTTGACCGGAAGGGCTGTTTTTGAGTGTCTTGCTTTCTGAAGTAATGTGAGTCTACTTGCTGTGCGTCTGTCCTTTAATGTGTCCCACCCTAAATCTGTGACCAATTTGGTAGTGCTGGCATAAGTATCGTAGGTATTAGAAACAAATCTGGCCGCTCTTTTCTGGACCGATTCTAACTTGTGAATATGTTCCTTGCAGTACGGATCCCATGCAGCGCTAGCGTATTCAAGATGGGGTCTGACTAAGCTAGTGTATGCATTAATCTTAACTGATTTAGGACAGCTATAGAGATTGCGTTTAATAAAACCTAATGATTTATTTGCTTTGGAAGTAATATGATGGATGTGTTCAGTCCAAGAAAGTTTGTTGTTTAAGATAACCCCTAGGTACTTGTGATTATTAGCCTCAGCTAGTGTATGGCTCCCTAGTTTGTAGTCAAATACTTTAGTTTTGCGTTTATGGGTGTAGCGCATGACGTAGCACTTATCAGGGTGTAGTTTCATTTGCCAATTGCTCTGCCATGCGTCTAACATGTTTATATCATCTTGTAGTAGGATATGGTCATTGTCGTTATTTATTTCTCTGTAAATGACACAGTCGTCGGCGAAAAGCCTGATGTTAGAGTTAAGGTTATCAGCCAGATCATTTATGTATACTAGGAACAATAAAGGCCCTAGTACGGTGCCTTGGGGTACTCCAGAAACTACTTCTGCCCAATCTGAATGTTCCCCCCCAACTACCACCCTTTGTTTACGTTTTTTTAGGAAGTTAGAAATCCACTGGAGGAGTTTGCCTCGGATACCGTAATTATGTAGTTTTAAGAGAAGACGGTTATGAGGAACCTTATCAAAGGTTTTGGCGAAATCAGTTATGATTAGATCAGTTTGTGATTTGGAATCTAAGGAAAGGGCTAAGTCATTTGTGGTTTGGACAAGTTGAGTCTCACACGAATGTTTCTTCCTAAAACCATGTTGGTTTTCAGTTAGGATAGAATACATATCAAAATGGTCCATTATCTGGGAGTGGATAATGTGCTCCATAACCTTACTACAAACACAAGTAAGAGAGACGGGGCGATAGTTAGAAGATTTCGTCCTATCACCTTTTTTATAGATGGGAGTGATGTTTGCGTGTAGCCAAGTGGACGGGATTTGGCCTGATTCTAGAGATTTCTGACATATTAAGGTTAGGGCTGGGGCTAACTCTACGGCCGCTAGTTTAAGAATTCTTGCGTGTGTGTGTGTGTGTGTGTGTGTGTGTGTGTGTGTGTGTGTTTGTGTGTATGTGTGTGTGTGTGTGTGTGTACATGTGTATGTGTGTGTGCATGTGTATGTGTGTGTTCGTGTGTGTGTGTGTGTGTGGATTTTTTTTGTGTGTTGTCTGGTACCACATAAGGGCAAGGGTTTCTTAACATTTCTAAGTGACCAGTATTTTCTAAACTCTGACAATTGCAGGTAAAATTTGGTGCAGGTAATTTTCTTCAAGTTGTAGGTATGCAGAACAAAATTTACTTCGAACTGTGTATTCAAAGTTACCAATTAGAACTGCACCGTCTAGCGGAATCACACCCAATTGCAGCTACTGTGCATTTATGTTTAGATAATAACTTAACTGTACCTGTCATTTAACGTAATTCTTCAAGAGAAAAATGAAACAATGACAGTTTCTGAATGAACGAATGAAGAACTTTATTGTACAGTTTGCCCCACTGGGCTAAGCAATGAATAAATAAGGACCTTTATTGTACATATTAGATACATGTACGCATGGTTAAGCTAGCACTAGCACTTCGAGTTTAACTCTCCGTACTGAAGTTTAACGACATTTGCATTGTTGCTACTGCGCCAGGAAATAGGTGCCAGGTGGGTGAACTGCAACGGAAATGAGGAAAAGGTGAATAATCAGTAGGTCTTGAAATGTGATTTGCATAGAAAAATTAAGATGCCATTGAACCGCGACGGGGGCCGACATCGTCTACCAGATACCGTTGACCCAGTGTTGACGTCACACTTCAAAGAAGCCACGTGACAAGCTTCACTGGGTCAGTCTACCGAGAAAGACCAGAGTGACTGGTCGAAAGCTCTAGGTGAGAGAACTTTGTTGTGTTGGACCAAAAGTTTTAACTCTAAACATGTAACTACCAACACAGATGAACTTTCATAATAGGATTCCTGGTGAATATCTAAACTTTTTCACTAACTGGTTTTCACGGTACTGTCGTCCATTTGTACTTGAAATGTTGCTTTTTATAATTTGTGCCCCTACGATAGGCTAGGATATGGCAGTGAGCGCTCAGAGATATTACATAGACAGTAATCGACTAGTTATAAGACGTGCAGAACCTCCATGGTCCAGCGTGTGCGTTAGACAATTTTCGTATATTTTTTTTCCCAACATGTAATCACAAGACGTGGTGACGACACACTCAAGTTTCTTCAACTTATATCAATGCCGCCACCAACACAGGGGACACATACATTACAGGACAATACTCATTTACACCTGAGCTAAGTGAGGAAAGCCGTGTAAAGTGCCTTTCCCAAGGGCACAAGATCGGTGGCATGTCAGGACTCGAACCCGGGACACTTAGTTCCGAGTCGCGCACTCTGCCGCTACGCCACACGACCCCACGCTACGCCACACGACTCCACTATGTAGTATCCTTACTATGATCTAGCAACCTGGCTAACGAACGAAGAGAGTGATACTTACAATAGGCACCGGTCTGACGGTGTTTGCTGACTTTAGGCCATGACCCTGTCATAGAGGAACATCATCTTATCGGACTCGGAGGCATCCAAGAAACCGTCACCTGAAACAGTCAATAAGAAGAACGTGAAAAAGCGATTGTTTTAAGTTTGTTGAAAAAAAAGATGGGAACCGTTGAACGATCGTTTAGACCATTTTAGTAAAAAATTGGGCGTCCTCCCCGAGATCCATGTAACTCGAGACCCATTCCCAATCACAGAACTACCAATATGAGACATTAAGGTTCTTTATCGCTATGAAAAACAATGCAATAGGGGCTCAGGATTCTAGGGGCCTGTCCAGTCGAAGGGATGCTAGACGGGTGATGTTAGGCTAGACTATAGGCCTAACCAGTTAAATATATGCTGCTAGAAACACAATGTAGTCAGGCTAGGCTAGGGGTCTTATCAGTGGAGCACTGCTAGAGGCTAGGGGCCTGACGTGTGTAAGGCTGCTAGAAACGTGATTTAGTCAGGCTAGGCAACGGAGGAAATCCTACCGTTGATGTCATGGTAGTTGAAGAGGTCGTCCAGGCGGAGGGTGTGCATCTCGCCGAAGCTCAGGATCCCGTCGTTGTTGTGGTCCAACCTGTTGAAGAGAAGCTGGGTTCCAACGTACATGGTGAACTCCTGAGCGTCCAAGTGGTTGTCATCTGCACGGACAAGATGAGGAAGACGTTTGGTAAGATCATGTTAAGAAAGGTGCCTGCAGGTCCAAAGTATCATAAGAAAAATAGAGGTTATCAAGGCGTGGTTGTAGTTAGCGTTGTTGATTTTGAATTAGAATTAGGTTCTTATGAATTCCCTAACAGGCTCCAAAGTTGTGCCCCTGTACCTTACACCTATTCAAAAAAAGAAAAAATACGAAACGTACCATCAAGGTCTGCGGCATCCAGAGCCTGGTGCATGGTCATGGCGATGTCCACCTCAGCCAGGCTGATCCAGCCGTCA